AGAAGTATTGTTGAAATTTGTGAAAATCTACATATATTAATAAAAATGTGTTAATAAAATACATTTTTATTTGTTTTTTTACGGTGACCTCAACTCAGTCGTGATTACCTGCTGAATTTAAGCATATAACTAAGCAGAGGAAAAGAAACTAACGAGGATTTCCCTAGTAACGGCGAGTGAATGGGAAATAGCCCAGCGCTAAATCTACTAATCTTTTTGATTAGTTAGAAATGTAGCGTATAGGTATAACAAAATATTTAGTCGATTGTTTTATGCACCCAAAGTCCCCTTGAGTGGGGCCATGATCCGTAGAAGGTGCGAGACCTGTACGGGTGATGAAGCAATCGATGCGTTATACTCTAGAGTCGAGTTGTTTGAGATTGCAGCTCAAAGAGGGTGGTAGATTTCATCTAAGGCTAAATATTGCCACGAGACCGATAGCAAACAAGTACCGTGAGGGAAAGTTGCAAAGAACTTTGAAGAGAGAGTTCAAGAGGACGTGAAACCGCTGAGATTGAAGCGAATAGAATTGACGAAACTCGTTAGCATTCAACCAATCGGATAAACATTGCTATATTGTTGAATATATTTTTTTATTTTTTGAAAAAATATATTCGTCGTGTACATTATGATAAAAAATTAGTAATGACATCAATATATGCATAAATTGTTTATTATATATAATTTTATATATAAAGATTGGTGCTTTTGCTAATAGTATGCATTGAGAATCTCGTTAACGTATGAAACGATTCGATTGTTCTTGTGGACCGTTTGTCTTTGTTTCAAAGTGAACGAAATCCAACAATTGAATGATAATGAAGAGAGAGCATATCGTTAATGAGAGAAAGGTGATATCTCAACTGTAGTTTTTCGAGACTATAGTGTTTCAAGGATCCTCTTCATTAACAATAGCATTGGATAAAACGCTTGCGTTTTTATCTATGTAATTTTTTTATTGTTTTTGTTGAGATTTTTTGATGAAACATTTTTTAAATAAATAAAAGAGATATATTCTCGATGTGAACGTCAATCACCTATTCGACCCGTCTTGAAACACGGACCAAGGAGTCTAGCACATACGCAAGTCAATAGATATATAAAATCTATCGGCATAATGAAAGTAAATGTTGTTGATTTATTTTTATCGATAAATCTAAACAATTTATATGCGATCCATTATGTGAGAAGAGTTTTTTTGTAAAAGAAAATAATTTGCGTATAATGGAGCAACATAGACCCGTTCGTATTGCATGCATCGGAAGATGGTGAACTATGCCTGAGCAGGATGAAGCCAGAGGAAACTCTGGTGGAAGTCCGAAGCGGTTCTGACGTGCAAATCGATCGTCCGACTCGGGTATAGGGGCGAAAGACTAATCGAACCATCTAGTAGCTGGTTCCCTCTGAAGTTTCCCCCAGGATAGCTGGAACTTATTTTGAGCAGTTATATACGGTAAAGCGAATGATTAGAGGAATTGGGGACGAAACGACCTCAACCTATTCTCAAACTTTCAATGTGTATGACGTCTCGCTTGTTTAAAAAAATTATGAAACGTTTAGATATTGAATGTGAGTTCCAAGTGGGCCATTTTTGGTAAGCAGAACTGGCGCTGTGGAATGAACCAAATGTCGAGTTAAAGTGCCGAATTTTACGCTCTTGAAAGGCGTTGGTTGATATAGACAGCAGGACGGTGGCCATGGAAGTCGGAAACCGCTAAGGAGTGTGTAACAACTCACCTGCCGAATCAACTAGCCCTGAAAATGGATGGCGCTTGAGCGAAAAACTTATACTCGACCGTTGTTTGGTATGTATTTTTCAAAAAAAAAAAATCCGACCACAACGAGTAAGAGGGTCGCAGTGGTTTGCGTTGAAGGTTTTGAGCGTAGGCTCAACTGGAGCTTCCACTGGTGCAGATCTTGGTGGTAGTAGCAAATATTCAAGTGAGATCCTTGAAGACTGAAGTGGAGAAGGGTTCCACGTGAACAGCAGTTGAATGTGGGTCAGTCGATCCTAAGATATCGGCTAATGCCGTTTTATGAATTTCAATGAGAGAGAAGAAGGATGGAAAAATTTTTTTATCATTCGTCTCGTCATTATCGAAAGGGAAACGGGTTCATATTCCCGTACCCGGACACGGAGAGTGGCGTTCACGATTGTGAATGTCTAGCGCGGTAACGCAAACGAACTCGGAAACGCTGAATAGAGCTCGAGCCAGAGTTCTCTTTTCTGGTTAAGAAATGGACTCCCTGGAAACGGTTCAGCCGGCGATAGGGACGTTATTTTCGTAAAGCACCGCGGTTCGTGTGGTGTCTCGTGCGCTCTTATTTGGCCCATGAAAATCCGAGGGAGGCTATTTGAATTTCGTGCCGGATCGTACCGATATCCGCAGCAGGTCTCCAAGGTGAACAGCCTCTAGTCGATAGAATAATGTAGGTAAGGGAAGTCGGCAAATTAGATCCGTAACTTCGGGAAAAGGATTGGCTCTAAGAACTGAGTCGGACGGGCTGTTACGTGAAGTATGCTATAATTGAATCGAAGCAGTGCAAAACTATTTATAGTGTAGTGGGTGGTATTTTTTTTTCTTTGTTTTACGAAATCATTTTTTGATTTCTGTGAAATTTTTAGAAAAAAAATTTACTCACTCTTATAAATGGTCAAGTTCGGCTAGTGTTTCAATTGTCGTACGGAGCGTTATAGCTGTGCGTCGCACTCATATATACATATATCTCTAACTATCTTTTAGGATATGTGAATGAGTGTATGTGTATGAGTGTATTTTTGTTAATAGGCGCTTCGTCCGTCGCTAAACAGTCGACTTAGAACTGGCACGGACTCGGGGAATCCGACTGTCTAATTAAAACAGAGGAGACAGACGGTCCTTGTGGACGTTGACTGTCTCTGATTTCTGCCCAGTGCTCTGAATGTAAAAGTGAAGAAATTCAACGAAGCGCGGGTAAACGGCGGGAGTAACTATGACTCTCTTAAGGTAGCCAAATGCCTCGTCATCTAACTAGTGACGCGCATGAATGGATTAACGAGATTCCCACTGTCCCTATCTACTATCTAGCGAAACCACAGCCAAGGGAACGGGCTTGGCGAACACAGCGGGGAAAGAAGACCCTGTTGAGCTTGACTCTAGTCTGACTCTGTGAAGAGTCATGAGAGGTGTAGCATAAGTGGGAGGTTATGAAAAAAAATTATAGCCGCCGGTGAAATACCACTACTTTCATCGATTCTTTACTTATTCGGTAAGACGAGAATTGAGCTGTATTCATCGGCTCTTATTTCTTGCATTCAAGTACTTAGACACTTGGTGTTGGTACGACTCGCGCCGAAGACAGTGTCAGGCGGGGAGTTTGACTGGGGCGGTACATCTGTCAAAACGTAACGCAGGTGTCCTAAGGCTAGCTCAGAGAGGACGGAAACCTCTCGTAGAGTAAAAGGGCAAAAGCTCGCTTGATCTTGATTTCCAGTACGAATACAGACCGCGAAAGCGTGGCCTATCGATCCTTTTGAATTAGAAAATCTCTAGCAAGAGGTGTCAGAAAAGTTACCACAGGGATAACTGGCTTGTGGCAGCCAAGCGTCCATAGCGACGTTGCTTTTTGATTTGATGTCGGCTCTTCCTATCATTGTGAAGCAGAATTCACCAAGCGTTGGATTGTTCACCCACCAATAGGGAACGTGAGCTGGGTTTAGACCGTCGTGAGACAGGTTAGTTTTACCCTACTGTGATATGTTGTTGCGATAGTAATCCTGCTTAGTACGAGAGGAACCGCAGGTTCAGACATTTGGTTTATGTTCTTGGCCGATCGGCCAATGGTGCGATGCTACCATCTGAGGGATTATGACTGAATGCCTCTAAGTCAGAATCCCGTCTAGACATGGCAACGATAATTTTGCTCCTCGATGTCGAGAGGCAAATCTATATAGATATGTTTATTGTGCATATCTATAATATTAGATGGTATTGCTATACGTGTTGAATAAATTGCATGTATAGTTGCCAAAGCTGGTTTCAAAAAAAAATCCGCTACCAATGTCGGGGCGCAAAATCACTTGTAGACGACATGATTACTGGTCAAGATTGTAATCAGTAGAGCCTCCATACTGCGATCTGTTGAGACTCATCCTTTGATTGGACGATTTGTTTTAAATTCATAAAAAATATTTTATACTTTTTTTTCTCTATATGTCACCATTACATCACTATTGACACCAACACTAATAAAAGAGAACGAAATTAGTGAACGAAATATTGTGAAATCGTAAATCGTATGAATTTGAGAAATCGCGGAAATTTTCAATATATCCGAACTACGATTTCGAAATTCAATGTCGATTGCCTTTCACTATTAATGAATATCGTTTAATATCGCTTGAAAGTTGAATATGGAAGACAACGATTTATTTCCCAAGTTTTTAAAAAAAATTTTAAGCAATAAAATATGTTATAAATGATCATCAATATATAATATAATATATAATATAAGATATAATATAATATATAATATAATATATAATATAATATGAAGATAATTTATCACAATTATCTCCACGTTAGACTATTTAAAATATAGTTAGACTATTTAAAAAAATTTGTTATATTACCAGCAACCCACAGCCATGTTTCATCGAGTTTGCGGCTGCCTTCGATTCAATTGCTTAGTTATGCCGCACTCATTTAATAGAGGGGTTCTTTGGAGGATTCATAAAGGCATTTTATGAGCGTCTGTCGGCGAAGATCTGTATTTATGGAAAAAGATTCCTTTGAAATAAGAATTAATCAACGTTGTGTCCCTTCCCTCACAGTATTCAACTGTGCAATAGAATGGATAGTGGATACAACTTGTTGGTACTGAAGAGGTGCCCAAATCAGTCCAGAGCATCGTATTACAGATCTTGAATACGCTGACGCTGTAGTCCTTTTTGCTGATATGATAAAATGCACATTAAATAATATACTAAATAACGTGTCAATGATTGCAGCGAGAATCGGACTAAGGGTCAATGTAAATGAAATGAAAGTCTTTTCGTCTTATGTGCAAGAAGCTGATAAAATGCGTCTTTTTGTAAATTCATTGCAGGTTGAGGAAGTGCCCGATTTCATATACCTTGGGTCCACTCTAATACCAAATGGACAGGTAAAAGATGATATTACAACTCGGCAGCTAGAAATGTGACGAGACCTTTATGGAGTCGTCGTGAAATCACCATAAAAACGAAAGTTCGCCGTGATCCGCTCGATTTTGCTATATGGTTCTGAGACATGGCCAATGAGAGTGGAGGATATTAAGAAGTTATCTGCCTTTGACCACTCTTGTTTAAGGTACATATTACGGGTTCGCTGAGTGGATAAAATCTCACTACATCGCATCCACCTTCGTTCAAATACCACTTGCATAAATAATGTTATCACTGAACGCCGCCTTCGCTGGTTAGGGTACATTCTCCGTCGTCCACCACACGAGTTGACGCATATTTCGTTATTTGCTAAACCGTGTAACGGTTGGAGTCAAAAGCGAGATGGGCCAATCAAGACCTGGACTGATACGGTGAGAAAAGATTTTGAACGTATAGGTGGACCAGCAATATATGGACTTAGACGATGGAAAAAGGAATGGCTTCCATTACTGTCGACGATGGCACCAGATCGCACCGCTTGGAAGCGTCTTACCCTTGTAGCCGTTGAAGCCAGCTTAAGCTGCAATGGTGAGGACTGTTAGAAGAAGAAGAAGACCATTGCTAGTTGGACTCGCTCGTTTGGCTTATAGCATTAGACGAATACATCTCTCAGAGAGTCCCTTAGCGATAGATGTCCAAGCGAGCATCAGCCGGACACCCGCGCTCCATTTCCTAAAATCATTTTAGAATTAACTGATTTATCCCTCTTAAGCATTTGTTATTATAAAAATCCCTCTTATATTTTTTAATATATTGCCATTCGCCATTCAACCATTATATATTTCATTATATATATTATATCTTTTATATTTATATATAAAAACACTGCGTATGCATTGCGAAATTCTCTATCAAATGCAATTTTGAAGTTTTTTAAACAATAATACCAATGAAATAATGAATGATTTAACCAGACGATTAATATGTAGTGTAGTGCAGCTGCAACTGCAGCAGCAGCAACAGTTGAAATCTATAATGAGCCTATCGATATGGCGGTTATTTCGAAAATCGAGGTGGTAGATGAAATATATAGCTATATTTCACGTTGCGAAATTTATTATATACCCCAAATAGAACGAGCATAGAAATATTATCTTCATTAAATATGGGGCATCTGAATTTCGAAATCGCTTCAACAATAATTTCGAAATATTTTACGAAATACGTCGAAGATCGAGGTGGTAGACGAAATATATAGTTATATTTCATCTTGCGAAATCTATTACATACCCCGAATATAACGAGTATAGAAGCTTTATGTTCGTTAATTATGGGGTATTTAATTTCGAAATCGCTTCAACAATAATTTCGATATATTTTACGAAATACCTCGAAGATCGACGTAGTAGACGAAATATATAGTTATATTTCACCTTGCGAAATCTATCGTGGAACGAAAGAAAGGCGGGACAGAAATCACTATTGGAATAACATGGCTTTGAGAATGGAGACGACGGCTCGATTAGACGATATTAGGAAACTATTCCACCTTCTTCATAAAGCAATTATAACTTGGGGACGATCAGTGAAATGACACGCGATAATAATGGTGTGTCTGTTAAGGCTATTAAGGATCGCCTTGTAAGATGGAAGGAATAAACGTCAAACTCAACCACGATGCGCCATCTGTCATTTTGGTCATAACTAATGTTCGTCGAACCATATGTTTACAAACTGCCAGCAGAACAGGAAATCTCCGCCATCTTGAAACTTGATGAAGTCTGAATTCTTCAAATGTTCGTCGTCCTTCATAATAACCTTCAACAATGTAAAAGAAAAAATAATACCATACGACTGAAGCAAAATAATTCTGTTCCCAATTCTTAAAAATAACAGGACAATTACTTTCCTCCCACTGAAATAGACTTAAGGAGTGATATGGTCCAGTTGTTGCTCAAGTCGCAGTAAATCTGGGGCCGAAGATCCGGGCTATGTTAGCAATTCCCTTGTATCTCTATCACCAAAGGACTCACTGGCATATTTGACCAACGCGACAAGCCAGTGGAGCAAGTCTAACCAGTAATGATAAGGGTCTTAAAAAAGAAAAATCTGAACAGATTTATAGCAGTACGAGATAGCAGGATATTTTCATTTCAATTTTTAGAAACAGCGGAAATAAAAGATTAAGATTCTCCGAAGATAAACCTAATATAAACCTTTATTTGCTCCTTTTTCTGGAGCTGGATTTAGGCAGGAGCGCTGGAATATCGCTTCAAATATCTGCAACCCACTGTTATGTGTTTCGATCGACTTTGCCTTCGATTGATAGAACTTTGGAAACGTGATGGTGTTCCAGAGATCATTCGACTCATAAAGGCATTTTAGGAGCGTACGTCAGCGCAGATCTTTATATATAGGAAATTGATAGACTCCTTCGAAATAAGAACTGGTATCCATCAAGGCTGCCATCAAGGTCCTTTCCCCTACAGTATTCAACTATGCGATAGACTGCATAATGGGTATCGCTTGTCGGCACTTAAAACGTGTGCAAATCAGTATAGAGCATCGTATCACAGATCTTGAATACGCTAATGATGTAGTCCTTTTTGTAATTAAGACGAAATGCAAAGAATACGCTAATGCATGAGCAACTGCAGTGACCATTGGACTCAGAATCGAATAAATAAAGGAAGCCTTGTGGTCTTATTTGCAAAAAGCTGATAAAATACC